CGGACTGCAATCTGGAATAGGAAAGGCTATTGGATTGCGGCGATCCCTGTCGCATATATTGCTCGATGCTGGGAAAACGCTGGTCAATCAAAAGTGGAAATGATGAAGGTAGTCGTGTACTCGTTATTAGGCTGCGTTCATACCTTACGACATCTCGCCGACTTCGACCGACGTAACCGACGTAATGGGCGGCAATAGATTAGATATGTATCGATCCGGTGTAACCGGCGGCAGAAGATTAGATACATATCGATGTGTCGTAGTCGCCGTACCTGACGTAACTGACGTAGTCGACGTTTTCGACGTCAATCGATATTCCGTATCTAATCTTCTGTCGCGATTACGACCAATTACGTCAGATCGATATGTATCTAGTCTGTTGTCGGCCATTAAGTCTACGTCGGTTACGTCAATCACGCGAAATATGAATGTAGCCTTATTGTTTTTGGCACTATTGAGCTATTACTACCCAAATCTTCAAAAACAGGCCAGTTCTTTACCGACTCTTTCATACGAGGACAGAATTCGGTACCAGAGGTAGTTCGACCCCTGAACACGATTATCGCTTTCCGCTTGGCCTAAAACTGCCTAGCGCCCGCACCACAGGCGCCGGCGCCCAAAACCCAGCTCACCAGAATCCATGAAAACTGAATCGATGTAGTTGTACACGTGTATTATGTAACATCTTGATACGGGTGTTTTCATTCTTGGCGCCGGTGCTAGCTGAGGAGACTGCGACCATTTATACTCTGCTAAGCTGGAAGGAATCATTCTTTCTCTCAGTCTGAGCCCTGGCAGAGAGCCAAATAGCGCTGGTGTGTGTCGTGCATGACATATTCGTGACCAGGCTATCAAACAACCCCATCATGCAAGTTTTTATCGATTCTGGTGAAAGTATGTGGCGGCAAAAGGCGTCAGAACTAAATATGGATGTCGCGTTAGTGATAACGGAACCAATGAACCCAAATATGCAAGTTTGCCGATTTTGGTTGGAAAAGTTGTGGGGCCAAATAGGCGCCAGCGTCAAAAAACAAAAGTCGTTTTTGTGATCAGCGCATCGGATAACCCGCATAAACAATGTGTTTCAGCAGAATTTTTCTGAATTTCAGGGGTAGCAATAGTTGAGTACTGCCTTGATTTTCAATTTTCTCACATTGAAAGAAAATGTCAACTTTCATGGTCATTTCAGGGTCATTCGAAGATGTACGCCGATAGGATCCGATCTCTTCCGAAACATGCAGATCCGTGGAAATACTAGACAAATAGATGTTGTGTAGACGCTGTATAAATAGTACTTTTTAATAGTAAACGTTTTGAACGGACTTGTGTGAGATTAAATCGGCTGGTCTCAATCCAGACACTTCTACCGAACGTTTGTATTCAT